TACAAGCCTTTCATGATTATATGTACCAGGAAGAAAGAAAAAGAGGATTAATTGCATTTCCTGATAGCAGAGTGTCAGGGTCATTACTGAGGATGACTCTGATTTCACAGGATCAACAGCAGAATAGAGACTTGTGACCCATCTCTGTAGATGTTGAATTAACTTTTAACCATCTACCAGAACATTTGTAACCTAAAATACCAACCCCAAACCCAGTGCATGATCAGGTATATGTATAATAAGTACAATGTATTTCTTGCCATGTATTCTTTCTGATCTTTCTACACAGATTCTGGCAGGACAAATGATGATGAGATGAGGATTGTGATGGTGGGGAAGACTGGAACTGGAAAGAGTGCTACTGGAAACACTATTCTGGGCCCTGAGTGCTTTAAATCCAAGTTCAGTGCCAAATCTGTGACTGTAGAATCTTTCAAAGGAAAAGCTACAGTGGATGGACATCGCGTTGCTGTCATTGACACCCCGGGGCTGTTTGATACCAGGGCTGATGAAGAGGAAACTCAGAAAAATATACGCAAGTGCATCTCCTATGCTTCTCCAGGACCCCATATTTTCTTGGTGGTCATTAAACTGGGTAGACACACTGAAGAGGAAAAACAGACGGTGCAAAAGATTCAAAAAATCTTTGGCCACGCAGCAGACAAATACAGCATGGTTCTCTTTACCCATGGAGACCAACTTGAAGGCACCACTATTGAAGAGTTCTTAGAAGAAAGCTCAGACCTGCAGGAACTCGTGACCAGATGTAACGGTCAGTACCACGTCTTCAATAATGAACTGAAGGAGCGCTCTCAGGTCACTGAGCTGATCCAGAAGATCAGAGAGATAGTCCAGAAGAACGGAGGAAGCCACTACACCAACGAGATGTTCCAAGAGGCTGAGCGGGCGATTGAAGAGGAGAAACAACGCATCCTGAGAGAGAAAGAAGAAGAAATACGAGAAAAAATTGAAAAAATGGAGAGAGAAATACGGGAAAGATATGAGAAACAGATGCAGAAATACAACGAACAACTCCAGGCTGAGAGAGAGAGGGAGAGGAAGGAGAGAGAGGAGGAGAGGAAGAGGGAGAGAGAGGAGATGAATAAGGAGAGAAAGAGAGAGATGGAGGAGAGAGAGGCAGAGAGGAAGAGAGAGAGAGAGGAGAGAGAGGCAGAGAGGAAGAGAGAGAGAGAGGAGAGAGAGGCAGAGAGGAAGAGAGAGAGAGAGGAGAGAGAATGGGAGATGAAGAAGTTAAAGATGAAGTGTGAGAGAGAACTGGAGGAAGAAAGGCGCAAGATTCAATCCAAATATGAAAATGAAGCCAGAGATAAAGCTGAGGAGGTTAATCCATTACCTTTGCTGGTTGAAGGAATGAAAACACTTAGGACGGCGTTGCTTCTATTTGACTCAAGCATTGAATGACAGTCAGGATCTTTTCATATAGAAACTCATGACTGCCGCACTGTATCATTGCACCATTGTTTTAAACTTTTTCTTAGAGTTCCCCTGCATGTCTAGACTCCCTAGCATGATGTTGCAGATAGCAACAAGTTCAAAAGTCGTAATATTTTGGGAATTATGTGAGGTTCCTGTAAAATTTGTCAATTTTCTTTCTTTTGAGTGTTTCTCTTCTTTTTCATTTACAGCTCGCTTTTTTCACACAGCAGATCCTGTGGACATATTGAATTTCCTTCTCATGCTATCTTAGTCATTTATTAGTTGAAGTAGAGTCTTACTGTGGGCTTTTGGGACATTCATAGTATTCAGTCATGGTAATATTATAGTTAGAGATATCTGTATATGTTTAA